AGAGGATAATCAAAATGGAAAATAAATAGACCATTGTATGGAGAAACTGTTAATGCTAATTAATCAATTTGCCAATTACTAAATTAGCTCTCGAGTTTATCTATAATTAATATATTTATTTTCTAATAAAACCAACATGCTGTATTTGACTTGTACCACTCCTCTAGAATCCTTCTTCTGGTTACAGAGAGAGAGAGAGAGAGGTCGATGAATGAACTAGACCAACCTAAAAATGATTTCCATGCAGTTTGCTCAGTGAATCGCCAGCAACTTAGCATATACATTTTTCTCTCCCCCCCTTGCTCCCCCCAATGGAATCAGTACGGGAAATGGGAAAAAAGTATGTATGAAATCCAAGATGTCACAGTCTCCTTTCGATGAATGAAAGTGGTCCGACCTCCATTCGCAAATTGTTCGTGTTGTCGGGACGACATATTTAGACGCCTCTTCTCCGCAAGCATGTGTAGTTTTAGCTTCGCACCATGTGCCCGGTACTTTCTCAGACGTTTCACTGGCATCGTTGCCAAACTAAATCTCGTGAAAGAGACACCTGAAGTCTGCTAAACTGTTGTGTTGTCGATCCTCCTTCTGTCCTAGTGCCGCTTCTATTCCTGGTCCTCTTCGCTCATTTCCACCCTATCATAACTTCTGACTTGTTTATTTTTTTTCTCCACACGAAGAATGCCGTTTTTTGGAGAGTTTATCGAGGCGTTATCGCATCTACTTGTCTACCTTGCCACTCTAATTCATCCCCATTTGCCGGAATCGTTGATCCGACTTGCACCTTCTATTCAATTCTCACTCAAGCCCTCGAAGATCCGGTTCGTGTAGAGTCATTTGACTTTTTTTTTCGCAACTTGATCATATTGGCAGGAAGCTGTCGATGAACTCACCTTGTCCGGAGTCCACAATGTGCATGATACCTCGCAGCGTCGGATCGTGGACTTGGTATATTCCCAGACATTTGACCGGATCGTCAGCCAGTCTGGCCATTCTCGGCATCACTCTCGACTAAAACTCGGCAAGGAATCTGGTCAAGTCGATCCCTTGACCAACTGTCCACTGAACTTCTTCCATACCACGAACTGAGACCGCGTCCATACTGAACGCCACACCATGCTGGTATGCACACCTTCAATTATCCGGTGTTTATCTACTCTTACCGACTGATCTCCCTCGGTTCCAGGCAAAGTTGGATCGTCGACTTGGTACATTACCGAACGTTTTGCCAGCATCGTAGTCGACATCGTGGACATGAAGAACAAGGTATGGTAGCATTCGTTTTGATCGCAGTCTCCTGTTGAGGTATAAGGTGATCTGACCTCATTTTAACAATCTGCTCTTGTCGTCAACACGACC